ATGTTGTTACATCACATTATACAAAAAATATCCTTCCAAAATTTTGTATTTTTCAAAAATCTGTAACCAAACACCTCTGTATGGCCATACTGCAAGAAGGGATGGCACTGACTCCTTTATAATTGTACAAATTGTACTCATATATATCATATTATTATGGCTTATTTAACATCCTCGTGTCATGTGACTAACCTGTTGATCCATGGAATATAATAAGGGGGGGGGGGGGTTGTGTGTGTGTGCGTGTGTGCAGGAATTATTTCCTTACGCAGAACTGACCAGCTGATCTGTGTAACGAAGACATGTTGTGTTTTCTTTGTGGTACAGGCTGAAACTTCAAATAATATTCAGATAACCTTCAGTTTCAAAGGTTTAATAATGTTAAGCAGACTGAAATACAGCTGAAACATTAGTACCTCAGCCCAGTTCATTAGAGGCCGAGACTGCCAATGAAAACTTCAAAATACATAAACCACCAGGTGTTGATGAAATTCTAGAACTGAGGAGGCAAGAGGTAAAACATTATATGTGACTTACAGATCACAGATGATACAGGAATAAAATGCTGCTACTACCATAAAACACAAATGAATAACCCAATATTGAGAGGAAGGTTAAGGAACATTTTCAATTTCAAAACTGAAGCCAGTGCTGCCACCTGATGAAAGAAAGTCTTGGAACTTTACTTCCAGACACAAATCAAACTAACCTGGCTGACTGCACCAGAACACCATCACATTTAGTCACATGAGACACATTTTTACATATAACTATAGTAAAATTCAGGAAGTACTTTGCTATCACACTAACCTTGTCTCGCCCAGTGTTAGAGCACGCATCTACACGACAATGTGCATTAAGAGTAATGGTTCCACAATGTTCTCGCTCATCTTGTGCTTTGTAATAATTCAGTTCTGTAGGCTGCAGGACAAACAAGTACTCCCGCAGAGTTGGCAGTAAGTAGCCCCGTTTCAATAGGGGACCCTTCTTGATCACGTCATACAAGTACATGTTGTACATATCAGTAACTGCCTCATCAATACCGTCCTGCTCCAAACTGCTCCTGTCCACATCTCTAGCACTGCATCTTGCTTCGAGAATAGCAAGAAACGTTGAGAAACGGAATGCTGACGTCACGCCAGCTATGGAATCAAACCCTGATAAAGAAGCATCATTTTCAGACAATCCCAATGCAGACTCCAGCTGGCAAGCTACACTTTGAGCTTCTGAAAGATGAAGAAGAACCTGCAACGTGAATTTATAATGACGATAAGTTAAGAGATGTACGCAGAGCATCAGAATTCAGGCACATTCTCAAGAGTATGAATTATCTCTGGCAAAGGCACGAGAGATGTCTGCATTCGTGTGGGTATTCTCCACCCTCACTTCCACATGTCACCAGTTCTTGAGTTGTTACACACATACAGACAGACGGACAGACAGATGCTGTGAAGGCAATAGCCCAATTCTTCCAATTTTTAATTGTGAATTACCCTAAAAATAGATATAGGATCAAAGGAGTCACAAACACAACATCCAGGGGAAACCCCCCCCCCCCCCCCCCCCGCGGGTGCTAATATTATTTTTACCTGAAAACAATCATGGAAGTCAGTACTATTGTCTGGTAGTAATTCAGCAAGGAGACAGAAGATTCGGAATAACTTGTATACACAATGATCTTGAAACAAAGGGTGTTCTCTCTGATCCAAGTAACGTTTCTGACAGACCAGCCAGCAAACTTCATCAATTCTTTCTTCCAAATCTCTTAGTACACTCAGAGACAAGGCAGAGTCAGGAAAGGATGAAAAAACCTAAAAACATGTGCATCAATTTAATCAAGTAGTACTTCTCACAGTAAGTTGCATTTTCATCAAACAACACACAATTAACACTGTATAACTTGTTATAATTGCAAAGAAATGTTGACGTGATACTGGGAAAAAAATTGAAATTAAGTTCTGACAGTAGCAACTCTGATAGCAAGAAATGCAAACAAGACTATGGTAAGTCTGACAGAGTCTGGAGTTTTGTGTTGATGCATTTGGCAGGGATCAGGCTGCAATCACCAGGAAGATGTTTTCACACTTGATTTAGTTTACAAAGAAGTTTTATAAATTTTGTACTTTTAATGTAATTTACAAAGATAATGCTGTAATAAACTGTATTACTATTCAACACCAAAAGTTTCATTTGTATCAAATTTGTCAGGTCATACACTAGTAAGAACTTTACGTTATCAAACCAAACCAAACCTAACCTAATATGGTACATGGAATATTACTGACCCCATATTTTTGGTCTGCTTGTGGACATTAATATAAAACAGCAGTGCCATTGCACAGCCACATTTTCCTTCTGTCAGCTACTTTGCAAACACACACAGAAATTATGCTTAAAGAGCTATAGTTCATTAATGATTCCTAGATGTTTATGTTCATTATAAGTACCTCTTTTTGAAGATAATATCTGTAATGTTCAAAGTTCAGGTTTGATGTACTGCGAAAATGTTCCAATCCTTTTTCAACTCCATAGATATCTAATAAAGTGCCAATGTTTGCAGTCAAGACCTGCAGAATAAGAACACAAGTTATTCGAACAGCCAGTCAGGGCTGACAACAAAGAAAGGGAATCACAAGAGTTGGTATCTTGGGATCTGGGTTGTATCAGCAATGCTGGAGAAGCAAAACATGTCATTTGCAAGTTCTCATGGCCTGGGGTACAAGAAGAAAAATAATATGAAACAACTGTACAGTGCAGTTCAAAGTCATATTCTTAGAGACACAGCAATGGCCCTATGCTAATCACAGTTTGAACTATCCTTCATTCAAGCAGCTGATGGTATCAATAACACAATATCTTCCGCTGTAGCCCTCAAAAACACAGTATTCTACACTATTTCAGCCTGTCAAAAGAAATACTGTTAGGTATTATGAGGCATTACAGGCACTTGATGCAACATCCAAAAAACCCTGGATCTACCCAACCATACATCAGATAGAGAACCACAAGCAAATGGGTACATGTTGTGAGAAGTATGATGATAATGTATACAGAGACATGCTGGAAGAAACAAAATATAAATAAAGCACAAAGATAACAATGGACAAAAACATTTTATCTCCACTTCAACTACTGATCTCCCTTTACGGCTCTGAACTGGATAAAAATCTTCTGCAAGCTGCCAGCCAGTATCACAAAGGGTAAAAGAACATTTAGTACAGTATCCTTAGTAAACAATGTCCTGCAACTGTGTCAAAAGCATCTGATGAAAAGTACAAGTTATGTAATTACTTTTACAATGGCAAGTTTATTTCAACAGACACAGACAGAAACCATTTGCAACAAGAAGAGCTAAAAACAGAGCATATTTTTTTTCGTTTTAAAACATATGTACTCCTCAAGTTTTTGTACCCATTCTTTTTAATTGCGTTGCTGAAAATTTTCTAAAAGGTTCTGCAAGATCAAATAACATTTTTGATGTTAGCCTTTACGTGGGAGTATGCAGGCAACCTACAAAACCAGTTGTCCCTAAGGTACTGTTGACTCTCCACACCCCTAGCCACACCTACATTTTAAATATCAATTTTGATATGGGTACAGAAAATTCAAGTTATCTAAAAATATTCTACGTACACTACCTTAAGCTTTGATTTCATAACAAACCCATTGTTATCTGTAGCCAAAGAATTGAATGCATGCCAGATGCTATTTGTTACGTTCCTAAACAAAACAGACATCCTTCAACACACGATATATGCAACAAATTACATAAAACATCACATCACTTTCTGCGAACATAGTACCAACATCATGGATTATATAAAGCATACAAATTCGGCTCACAGCGTAAATTTACACCCACAGCAAAGGATGACACCAAAATTATTACTATAACAATATAAGAATTGACGGTCAATACACCAAATAATATAAGCAATTCACCTAAATTTGAAATTGTATATTAACACAACTTCAAAATAAATCAGCACGATTGGTCTCCCTGGACTAGTCCCAGGAAACATCACGGCAAATGACAACGGTCTGCGACATCCGAGGTTAAGCCCAGGTGCATAACTCCAAACCTACGGCACACAGCTTAGCCGTGTCAAATGTCCTGTGCCCTGTGAGCGATTCACAAATGAACACAAAGGCGACGTGACAATATCGCAGTCGGTAAAAACGTTAACTACTATCCAACCTTCAAAATGTTTCCTCCCACCCCACAGAGGCAATACAAATGCCAAAAACAATTTTAAAACCATAATATCGTAAGTAATCATGTATCGGGGGAATTTCATCCAACTTTGGGGTAAAAATAAATGTGTATAATCATTTTCACATAAATTTTATCCATCCATTGATGGTATCCTAAGAAGGCCATATCCTTCAAAATGGCATAATTAAAATAACAATTTCATCCATATCAACACATAGTCCCCTTATTGAAATGTACTGAACCATGATGAAGTCTGATATTCATAAGGGCAGTATTCAGTTGAGGTTTGAAAATTGTCAATGAAAAATTTCTTACAAAATAACCGGGCAAGTAATATATTAATGAACTAAAATTGTGCAATATATCAGTCACAAGAATCTGTATAGCGATATAATAATCATAAATAAAATATGGTCGCTTTTACGCAGGTCTTGTTGCTATTAGAAGCAATTACTTCCATACTTACCAGCTGTTTCACTGTTCGGCAATTATCCTCCATATTCAACAATTACATTATTTACTTTTCGACCTTATTACAGACAGCTATCCAGAATTTCTGAAAGTAATACAACCATCATTTTCACAAACCACTAATTCACCAATACTAAACTATAAACAAACGAACTCACTATACACCATTTCGCTTACATACTACTAAGCATATACGTTCATTATATTCACTGTGAATAACAATATTGTATGCACATGTAACGCATATATTTTACTTCTTTCTTAGTGCAGCTACAGCTGATGCAAAGCCCTTCACAGGGGCAAAATTTATGAGTCTGAATTTTCGTCTTCTGCAGTTCGTTTTGATGCACACTTCCAATCACTGGAAACTTCTTTTGCTCCAAAATGTAACTCACCACTGCAAGCTAGCATGGTCCACACTTTACTCTGCCACTAGTTTCCCAGAAATTAAACAAGTTTGAGTCTTCCTTTCTTCATTCAGCAGCAGCAGCAGTTCAAAGAAATATTTTGAAAGCATGTTTGACTGTTGTATAAATATTTACTTTTTGTGAATTCAGCTGCAGCAATCTTGACCCCTTATTATGTAATACAGTCCTTGATAAAATCAACTGGATCTTTTGTCAGTTTTGGTTGCCATGGATTGAATGTGGTGTGGTTTGTTCCTAAGGAGTATTTTCTTGCTGTAATGTTTGATTACTGCCATGCAGCTGTTATACATATAGTCACATAATTCTGCACTTAAAGTACCAACAACCTGTAGCCAAAACTGATGTGTTTCACTATTTCGATTTTATTATAGGAAAAGTCTTATTATCATGCTCATTATTATTGCCATTATCATTGTCATAAACATTAGCATAATTTTTAACAATTTCCTACATCGAATAGCTTACATTAATTTTTCTTGTGTATTTTTAATTAGATGTCTCATATGGCGGGTATAAATTAATATCACTACACAGAACTGCATAAAAACAAATTTATTAAAACAGGTAAATAATACTAGCATTAAAACATTAAAAACAGATTACATAAACTAAGTGTGGAATTATCACAGTATATAAGTATTTTCAAATTTTGATTAGCATCATGACTCTTTATTATGAACACTGGCATAAAGATATTTTGCAGAAATTCAAAAGAAACAACTCACTGCTCTTCAGTATGACTGACAAGAATGTTGTTGCACCTGGTGTTACAAGACAATTTGCAAACATGAACATTTACCAAGTCAATACTGTCCCAAAATTACTTACATAATGTGCATCACAAAATGCAACAATGTACTAATGTACAGAATGAGATGCAGAACTGGTAAATTTTGTGTAGAACAACATATAGGCACTTGCCTGCATTACTTCATGTAGTGTCGTTTCACGTACTTCTGCATCCGACGTGTAAAACCAACTGAAACATCAGTTATAAAGACGTTAAGAAAACCTCCTTAATGGAATACTAAGCAGACACCTTAATATGACAAATAAAACCAACCAGCACCCCAAAATTTATATATGCTGTACTACAATTAATGAACATGTCTGTACAGAAAGGTGATTTTATGCAAGATTCCAAGGTTATTTGTGCCTATCGACCATTTAAGTGAAAAATAAAACTGCCATTTCACAAAACCCAAGGTTTACTTGTAAACGTATTCAGAGCAGAAGAACTTATTAAAAAATAACAATAATAACCACAGGCCAGGCTCTACAGGCACCACTCAAACAGTGATGTTACTAAAACACACCTGTGTTCTGTTAAAACCTGTTTTGCTAGGGTGTATAAAGGAGCATGGTAGTGTAAATCTGCCGATGCATTCAAGGAAAATGCTCCTGTCCCTGGACTTTTGAAGCTACTATATATAACACAGTTTAGAAAGCACTGGCAAGTAAACCATTCAAACGCGCTTCACAGAGCATAATAACGATCATACCTGTTGTAATACTTGCCGACTCCTCTCCTATATGTAATAAAATGTCCATAAAACAAACTACCTTTATGGACCACTACAGCTGTAAGTTGGTAGAGATGTCTGAATCTGTGGAGGGAAAGCATCTCGATGGAATACATTGACAAAGCATTTAAATCGATCGTATATCAAATCTAAAAGTTCTTGACGATGGTGATGAGTCATTTGAATAAAAATTTTCTTGAATATTATCCATCGTCTAGTAAGTAAAATATAAAACGTAAAACGACGTTTCGGAGATGGGATTAGCTCTATCTAGTGGGCCCAACTGAGTAGGAACCTGAAGGAGGAAATAGAGCCCCATCTCCGAAACGTCGTTTTACGTTTTATATTTTATTTACTAGACGATGGATAATATCCAAGAAAATTTTTATTCAAATAAATCTATCGTGATTAAAGTTTCCAATGTGAAAAGACGCTTGAATTTCTGTTTCTTTGGCTACTGATTTACACATGGAAGACGCCCTGATGGTGGGGACAGAGACGGTCCCTGAAATGTTGGTGAGTTTTTACCAGATGACACGGCTAATAGCCTAAGGATTATCTGGATAACAATAAATATTCATTCAAAATTCAAACATTTTCAATAACTTTCAAGATAAATCCATGACCATCTTTCTATAATAAAACCAAAAGAAATTGGATTTACAAAATTAATGTATGATGTTCATAAAGAGCTAGCAAAGAAAACAAAACTTGTCTTGTTTCATGCTTTGTATCATACCATAAAATATTGCAACTACAACTGAGAAAACATTTCTACAAATAAGAAGGAATGAATTTTAACTGTACCTCTTCCTTGTTAGTGAAGATGAATTAATCAACCCGTTGGTGCATGACTGGTCACCTACTTGCAGTTTACTGTTTGATAGTTGTGTCTGTAAAAAATGTGCAATAATGAGTGTAACCAAATTATCTGTGTGCTGCACTGACAGCCAGCTCAGTTTTCTGACTGCCAAAACATTACTTTTAAGCCCAAGGAATGAAAGTAGGCTTACGAGCTCACCAAGCTGTGTGTGTATGTTGTCAGTTTAACTTTTAAACTTTTAAACCATTTTTCACAAATCTTGGTATGAATGTTATGCCACTGCAGACAACTCCCGAACTCAAGCTTTTTGTTTCTTACAGTCAGTAATATCAACATGGTGGGCACATAAGTTTGCGAGGTGAGAGTGCTGATGAATTCAGGGACTGCTTCTTACCATGTAGTTCAGAATCTTCTGTCTTTCCATGTGCTATCTAAAAATGCAAAACTTAAAATATATAAAACTATAATTTTACCTGCTGTTCTATATGGGTGTGAAACCTGGTCTCTCCCATTCAGGGAAGAACACAGATTGAGGGTGTCTGAGAACAGGGTACACAGGAGAATATTTAGGCCAAAGAGAGATGAAGTGAAGGGTACACAGGAGAATATCACACAAGAAGCTCAATAATGTATATTTTTAACCAAATATTATTAGGGTGAAGATAACTCTCTTCTGGGTTTAAGCACCGTGTAGTCTGATAGAAGTTTACAAGCACAAGAGAATTAAATACAAATGACCAAAGAAAAGATAACACATACAAGAGAAAACATGGTAATCACAGAGGGTCAAGACCATTTACATTAGCCCAGGTGCTTCATACAAGCAGTGAAGATCCTGATCAGTATTCTGGATTGTAGTGACATGTGACCTTGTAGGATCTACCTATAGATCCACATGGTACAATGATCCAGAAGACCAACAATGGTAGTCTGCGTAATTGCCAGTGGCAATCCTGATTTCATCCGTCAGAATACAGCATTAGTGCTCAATCAGGTATACTGACCAGTCAGTCAGTAAATTAATCTTTAACATAAACAACAGCAGAAAGGTATTCTCCACTGGAGTGAACATACTTTCTAAATGTTCTTTGCGGTTTTGCTTACCTAACTTGTCTAGACATATATTTAATATAATCTACTGTTGTAAACCTACTTGTACTACAAATATCACAATGCACAAAATCAACAAATATTTTTTATACTGCTAAATATTCGTTTTATCAAAAACATATCCAAATATAACTTACAAATAACAGTGACTTATAAATTTAATATTAACTTTAACAGGTATAATTAACAATTTTGCTGTAACCCCCAGATCAAGTAGTTTCAGGGATAAAATATAAGAACACACATAATATACACATTCCTTTCATGCACTTTATTGCAAACAGATAAGAAATGTTGGCTAACTAACAAACGACAATTACCTGTTGAATATAATTGTATGTGTACGGATCCATGACAAGTATCTCAGGAAATCTGATGTGATCATCCCGCTTCAGCGGTTCTCCTTCCCAGATGGTCCGTGCAATGTGAATACAGAGACATCTTGGCAGCTAGTGAACATGAAACAACAGAATTGATTAGCCTTTTCAACTGCTAGATTCAGCAGTATTCGATGGTGCGGTGATTAGAAAGGTCAAGGAAGGAGACACCCACAGTTTATTTTTAGGTTCTATTCTACCACCTGCCCAGAGAAACAGAAGATTACCACAAAAAATCTCAACGAGGATTGCCTCCACTGGCTACAAAATCACCTGTTTTAATGCAAGACTTTTTGTTTATACAAGAAATAGCACAACTTTCTCTTTCTGCTCAACAGCAAATAAGTCACCGCACTAACTGCATCACTACGCCACCACTAACGACACAATATTCTGCAGTCACTTGCAGCAATTTCCATGACCTACTGCATTCACTGGAAATATTTCCCAAATAGATGTATACACACACTCAAATGAAGTAAAGACATTTTAATAAACTAAAACATTACATATGTCAGCATTTGCACTTGGGGAATTAGCAAATCTAGCGCAGGTGTTCAAAGCTACCATCATTAGCTTCATGGCACTGTTCAGTGGTAAATAATTGATTGGCAAACAGCCACAAAAGTTGCTGCTGGGAAGCTGTACAAGACTGTTAAATTTCTTGCCAGACCTCTTGAATTGTTGCTGGCTTTGTGCTGCAGAATGCATCTATCAAGTAATCCCACAAGAAAATGGCAGGTAGGGTTACATCTGGCAATCACTGGGCTTACTTGACAGATCCTCTGCGTCCTACCCCGTTTGTTCCAAATATGGCATAATTTTAAGAAACAGATTTAATGTGTAAACATTACATGTGCCTTCTTGTGTCTTCCTACCCACTTGGTTTTCTGAATTATGCTCTTCCATCAAAATAAGAGATCATGTTTCACAAAAACACAAAACACTTGAAAAATAATTGTTTTATATATATTCATCTTTCACATTTTGGAAAGCTAAGACAGATGATAGAAGTAGCTGAAATAACTTATAACAAGCATTGTATCTGTATGTACACTTACATTTAATTTTAAGTACAAGAATTTATCCAACAGTCACCTTGCCAAAGTTGAGGCTCTTCACCTGCGCAGTGTCACGACATCCACAGCCATCACACGTAACATCATTCACCACTCGACTGGTCACATAATGTCCAATTAGTTCTTGCAGTGTATAAAACTCATCCATAGTTCCAAGAACAGATAATCTTGGTGGAAGTACAAGTGACAAGCTGTAGAATGTGGCATAGTGGACTGCAGACTAGAAAATAATAAAGTTACATGCAAACTACTAATTTCTTCTTTCCTGTTTCTGTCTGTCTAGAAACACCAGAACAATCCACTTTTGAGACAGCAGTAGCCATAGAACAGGAACAAAAAGAGGATTATCAAATGTATTCTGTAACACTTTCAAAGTCAGATTGTATTTATCATTATGCACCGATGAAATTGCCGTATTATAAAAATGTCATTGTGGGGAGTACAATTCTCATTAGTAATGTAATGTTCCAGAATGAACAGGGCCAAATGAATAAATCGGTTAGGTGACCAGTTGGGTCCAGGTCTCAATTACAGCCGTTGTTTCTCAGACTGTCTAATTTATCAGTCAGACCACGAGTCTCTAATGGATTTTACTCTGTTCACAAACAGTTAGAGGTGATTCATGTTCTAACCTGTCCTGGAATCGGGGAACAGTTATCAGCAGTGGATGCCTTAGAAGCTTGTTGACGTGCGCGTGATGCCAGGAAAACAAGACAGCACAATTTAGTTATGCAGAACAGTGTGTCAGTCCCTACTGTAAGACGAATGAATGATGTATAATTCAAATTGAAAAGAGTCAATAACTTCAGAATCCTCGCTTTACATTCACTGTAATTAAAAGGAGTAAATAAAGGTGGTATATGCCCCCCCTCAAAAAAAGAAGAAGAAGAAGCAGTAAATATGAATGAACAATTATTTAATTTTCATAAGTGGCAAATACTATAATTTGTCAAGAGTGATGAAACAAACAATTTACTGGTCAAGGTTGGACTTCTGGACTGTAATGTCACACAGACTTGCATGTAGATACCAAAGTTTTGGAGAACTATACTGTCTCCATCTTCAGGGCTGAAGTGGGGCTGTTGGGAAATGAACAGCTTATATAGTGTCAGGAGAAGGACTAGGCTAGAGGGAATTGGCCAACCAAATTTTACAGATGAGGAGGAAATGGTCTGGGCCAACAGGGAGTCATTCCTCCTCACAACTTCATTCAGGATGGCCAATTCTTCCTAGCCTAGACATCCTGACCCCTTTTATACAGTCCACCTTGCAACCCTAAGATGGAGACAATATGTTCCTCTGCAACAGTGGTATCTATGTACAAGTCCACTTGGTGTTACAACCGAGAAGACCAACATTAACGTTTTACCTCTGTGAGAGCCCCAAATCTCAACAATTAACTTACATTTTCCAGTCAAAATTATCTGCCCAACAACTTCCCAAAGCGTGGCCACATGACTCTGAATTCGCCTGTGTAGTTGTAACTGTAACTTAAAGATTTATAGGGACTGGGACTGATAAAGAGCCTGAACTGTGATGGATGTCACAGCAAAGCACAAATTGCCTCGCACATTCTATGTGACTATGAAGATTTTGCCACTTGGAACTAAAATCTATGAAACCAAATGACTAACACCATAGCCCACTAAGAAATGTACTGCACTTGTACAAGACTACTACAGAGCTAAATATACATGAGGATGCACAACAGATCAAATGTCATTGCAATGCTAGGGTCATTAATTGCCCACACCTCATTCATTAATTCATTCACTCACACATGACCTATGCTTTCTATGTTAATTCAATAAGTTGCCTGTAAAGAATGCTTATGAAGGAACTTTTGTGTGCCTTTACAACAAAAATTACATATGGCTCTGTCCAGTAATTGGAGAGATGAAGTACCTTGTATTTACAGCTCATACACTGCAACTGACTTGCAAAGAGGCCCTGGAAAGGGAGTGGGCCTTTTAATTTGGCTTCCTGCCACCAGCTGCTAGGCTTGGGACTGAGCAATGTGGCCTGCAGCCCATGCTGCTGAATTTCCCTCAGGCCGTCCTCAACAGCAGCAGACAATGAACACACCTGTGATGATACACGCACATCAACACTTTACTCACTTTTCCAATGATCAGTAACAAAGCTTCAGTGGTCACTATTTTATGTACGAGGCTCGTCCTTAAAGTAAGTTTCCCTGGGGCCGTTTACAGAAACAAAACACAATTTCATGGAAATATTTATTGCAACAGATACAGCAAGTGTCCAGCTATTTTTCAACATATTCGCCACCGGAATTGAGACATTTGTCATACCGTGGGACCAACTTTGGAATCCCTGTACCTCCCAGCTGAACTTCTGCAGGAGACTTGCTGTCCGTCGAGTCGTGTGCGGCCTAGCGTTATCACTGACCGCACTTCACAGTCGGCGGGGGCTGGAATAAGAACCTCCATCTTCAACAGCTGCAACGATGCTACTGTGAGAACGCGGGAAGTGCCGTTAGTGCATGCGCCATGCTACGTCATTGCTCTATCACGTACGCACAGTCGCTTCGCTCAATATAAGGTTTGCTAGCTGTGGGACGAGTGGGAAACTTACTTTTGGGACACGCCTCGTATATTTAAATTAAACAGTGTTTTAAAAGTTGGATGTGGGTTCCATAATAGGTGGGAAACTTTTTGACTAGCTGAGCATACTATCAGCTTCTCAAGATTCTGCACCATGGAATTAGTTCTTTGTTGTGTACTGAATGAAAACTTAAAACAGTGCAGGTAAAATGAAATGGTACAAGGATGGGTTCAAACAGACGTTTTTGTGATCAAACAGCAAGACCCATAAAGGCAGGGCATTTCTTAGCCCTTGTCTATCAACCATACCTCATTCAATGATCAGCGAATCTCTTAAATAAAATCAATGCACTAGCAGCAAGCATAGCAGATCTGTATTCAAAAGAATCTGGGTTGAATCCTGACCGCCACTAAAACATTCACTGTAAAGGCAACTGATTACCTGAAGATCCTGTTCCCAAAACACTGTATAGCTATATCATATACATGATATACAGTGAAAAATACCAAGTATACTTAATTTACTATTTTATGAGATCATACTATTTGGTAAAAGTATTACTTTTCCTGTACTGAAGTGCAATAACACTGGTGAGAGGCTGCCCTGCTCTTATCAGCTCAGAGCTGGCCACTTCATGGACACTTATTCCATCTCACATGAACAATGACTGTAATTAATCATTTGTACAACAGCGCATTTCTTTGAACCTTTCCTTGGGCATACATAACGAACATTAGCTCTACTTAAAACCAGAAAACAGGAATAAAAGCTGTCACACCTTTGGAAGTTTCTGTTGTACCTCTTCTTCCAATGTTGTAACAATAACAAGGAATAATTCATGTGCATCTTGTTCCCCAGGTGATATAATCCATCCATGGCCATGTAGCGATTGGATCAACTTTGACGGAGTGTATGGATCTTCACTTCCCTCCTTTCCATTCAATACTGCCAACATTATTATCAACATGTAACTTGGTGCTATGGAGTGGCAGTGGATCTGTCTGAGTCAGGGGATGGGGGGATACGATCATCTTATTAAAAACTCTACTTCTGTATTTTTAAGGCCCTACGAAATCTCATTTAATATGTAATATAAATTATTTGTAACAATGTATTATTTAACAGACAACTACAGGGCTGTCAACAGAGAACCAAATATTATGAGTACCAAAAAATAAATCCCAACAGTTTGCTATAAGTAAATGGACATTTTTTAGAAAGCAAAACTTCAATTCAACTTGTATACACTGTCATGTTGGTAATAAACAAACAAGTGCACTTAATTTTTTTTTTAACAAAGAGGGATTTGATTTTAAAATTCCCACATAACCTACATTTAATGTCAACAAAAGATGGCTCGTCTCACCAGTCAAACACTTCTCCACAAAACAAACTGTGCCTACCCACATGATTCTGTTCTAATTTTTCCTTAAATCTTGATGTTCCGCACCGACTTTTCAAAAGAGCATAATGCTGGATTAAGTATCCAGTGGAGTCACAAAACATGTTTTTAATTATTCAAATGAATTGCATTATGTTGATTCCAATAAAATACAATGTTTAGTATAGATTATCTTCTGGGTTATTTCTACCATGCAGTATTTTGGCTGCATGCTGTAGTTTCAGAGGAATATACTGCTGCCATCATCAGGGCAGAAAACACTTAATACAATGAGCAGGTATAAATGGCTCATTAGCATATTCCATACACATGCAGAACATTCTAGAAAGTCTCTATGTCAACAGAAGATGGAAAAATTCAATTCTAAAGGGTTTTGATGACAGTAGTTTACACTTAAAATTAGTCATTGTCAGGACTTTTTCCATCGTCTATTCTTTGAAACCACGCCTTTTCGGAGGCTGGTTCTGTCTCTGTTTTCAGGTGAGAGGTACCTACTCTGTTGGGTCCCTTAGATAGAGCTAGTCCAGTGACAGAGACTATCTACATTCAGATTTCAACATAAAACCTTTAAATCATGATGCCAATGAACAATAAATCATGGAAAATTGTATGAAATATCTACTTCCATCATAATTCTAACCTCACCAATGCAGCACAAATAACACAGTAATAATGATATAACTGGTGATTACTTTTTGCTTGTTAACAGGAAGTTACTGGACTACACATGCTTACATAATAACTACAAACAACACAACCTACATATTTGTGTATCCAGCTCCAATTGCTATTGGCACACAGAAATTTTTAAACAGAGTTGAATAATTTATAACTGCACAGACTGAAAAAGTATTTGTTCAAATATGACATATGCATTTAAAAAAATGCTGAGATCAGGGTAATGAAATTGCGTATCTTCACATCAATCTTCTACTGTACCATCTTGCTTGCCAGTGAATACGAATGTCCAAGTAAAGAAGCCATCACCTTCATTTTGCTGTAGAACCTAGTCACATGTCTTGGAGAAGTAATTAATGTTAATTCACGTTTTTCTTCAAACTGCGCAAACATATCGGTGTCTTTGCTTAACAGACATGTGGCATAACTGTAATTACTGGGTAGCAGAGAAAAGCCATGTTGGACAAACACAGGCAGATTACAAATGACTGAAATTATGATGCCAGCTGCATGCTTACATTAGTCTTGCTTTCATACTTAGATAATTTTAAGTGATTGATTTTTGTTGTACAGTGTACACATATAGTCATAACTGTGCTTCACAGGGCTAATTAAGAAAACACAGAATTTTAGTGTCTCAATCTAATGCCTATGCTTTGAAAGAAATTTCTTCAAAATGTGACCTGTGACAAAATTCCACAAAATATCTACCATAATAAAACATTAAAAGAACTATCAAATCTAAAAGTTCTTGACGATGGTGATGAGTCATTTGAATAAAAATTTTCTTGGATATTATTATTCAAATTAAAAGAACTGTTTGCTGGCACACTTCCAGAGGTCAAGAAATATAAAACTGTCTCTTGTTCTTTTACCTTGGAGAGTGTTCTGCAATGCTGCAATGAAGCTTTTCTTATTGGCACTATTTTGATGTTTTGACAGCCAGTCCAAAACAACAGGGCAAGATGCCAATGCCTGTAGCAATGTGTTCAGAAAACACGTGTAACCAAGATTCACAAGGCCAAGAACCTTACCTGAAACAGAAACAAAAATATAAATTACTCATACATGGACACAAGCTGTAACTCCTGCTTCAACAAACAATAACTCTTCATTTTGTATGATTCCCACTATGAAAAGGGATTACTTCCAAAAAAACAGTGTTAACAAGATGATCTTTGCAATGGAGAAGTGTTATATGTTTTCTTTGCGGTATGGGCCAAATTCATAAATGTTATTTCAACATGCTTTGACTTCAGTGATGCATGACACTATTAGTAACATTACAGGAAAAAAATAGGAAACCAGACATAAAGACATTAATTTTTGTAGATGATGTGTTAATGTGTGAGAAAGACAAAAAACTGATGTGAAGCTTTTGGGAATAAACCAAAGTTTTAGACCGAAATCCAGCTGAAAAAACCACAGAACATGAATTAACATTTAATCACTGGGACCTTAACATATCAACTGAGAATGAATATAAACAAGATGACTGCGTGGATTTAAAGGAATCTAGAAAAAATCTGTAGTACAACTTCCTTTTGAGGGGAAGTAAAGCCAGCATTCCCATGTTGTAGATTTATGGCATGTAAAAGAACCTTACGAGCATGATATGAGATGTTTCATAAGCAAAATTCAGCGGCCATTTCTCACCCAAGTCTCCTGATTTACTGCTAGATGGCTCTGGCAGTTAAATCAGGATTGAGGATTGTGCAGAGTAAGTGGGCTGGTCACTCACTACTCACAAATGCATGCTTCAAAAGACCAAGAATCCTCCTAAGTGGGGAGGTCATGGCCCAAAAACAGGCCGAAGCACCGTAGATGATGATGACCATTGTTACTATTTGTTATTATTCAGTATGTGTCAAAATTCCACAGACAGCTAGCCTCTATTCAAACAATCTTACGTAATTCAAATCCAAACTTCAAAATTGTTCTTTTTGACCTGCTTATGGCTCAAAGTCAACAGACAAATGAATCTTGGACAGCCTCAAATAATATCCACAATTCATCCAGTTGGCTGCCATGACACACACTAAAATCTTTAAAACAACTGTATTCACTATGTATGACTCAAGTACTTGATATCCTGTATATGCCTTGTCATGCATATTGGATTTAGTGTGAACTACAGTGACACATTTCCCAAGACTTTTCATGAGAAATGGAACATAAAACAAATGGAGCCCAAACACACAGTTCTTGGGAGTCACCTACCAAAGGGAAAATGGCAAGAGAAGCACTGACCCGGTATGAAAATTGGAACTTTGTACTGACAACAGTAACTTTCTAGTGACATAACTAGCTATCTGCTAATGATACAACCTTCAAGATGCAAGATTCAAGACAATACAAATACTCACTGCACATTCTTCATTTACATTCTATACACACAACACAGGTAAAATACTAAAAAAAATTCAAATTTTTACAGACAGTTTTTTTGAAAAATTAAGTATTATACACACAAAATTATAATTTTTTGGAACTGAGCAGCAAATTTCTACCCACCTTTATAGCTTGGGTGTAATAAAACCCTTTTAAAGGCATTTCTCTTTACTGCATATTATACTCTTTTCCTGAGTTTATACTGCTCCTCATTGCCTAAAAATTATAAAGTTATAAAATTTGTCAACACTCGTACTGAATATTTATTTTTTTACATGAAATCTTTTCATAACCACCTAACACTGCCTGCCTAGCTAGAAATGGACTGGATCTAACTCACCCCTACGCTTCTGATGAAACAAAGGTCCCCAGAAAATGAAAGCTCCAACTGCCAGTATGACTGATACTGTGGCAAACAATAAAACATTCTCACGTTTTGTTTCCGGCATGACTGCAAAGAAAAATGTATGTAGTGACAATCTAATGGGGTGTACTGAATTAGTATGATCAGTACATTAAATGGTGTGACATCACACATATTACTTGGTGCTTGTAATAATGTGTACATTATATCAGTTTTCTACAATCATTTTTAATGAACTTCATAAACAGTGGGCAATGAATGACAAGGCACTTCAACATCCTGACATATGGAGGTCAACACACTGCAAGATATAAATGCAACCAACAGATCCTAGTAAGCAGGCTGTGGGGCAAGCCAGAGTACAGTATATTATATACAGAAAACAAAACAGTTTCAGAAACACGTCCCAGGAGTAAAATACACTACAGAAGACTAAACCATAAAGATACATTATTCACTCTCATAATTTCTTAGCAATTACACATATATTTGGAACAGTTAAAATGTTAAAAGTACACTACAATATTGTGTTCCTTTCTGTAAAATGTACTAAGTAACCAAACTCTTGGTCAATATTCACAACTAATCACACAAAAAGGTGGGCCTAAGCAATCATTTTACACAATATGCATATCAAATATAAACACAATTACCTTTCGTTTAACTAGGAACTACGTGAACACAATCAAACACAGGCACAGGTTAATAAAACTTTGTATGTAAACAGAACGTTCAACTGTTTTCACTTTATAAAGTTGCCACCATGCTTGTAAGTGTTAGTTGTGGCACGTTAATATTCTACATCTCAAACATACAGAGCAGGACAGCGAGTACCTGCAAATTTTGGCAATCATCACATTAGTATTACCAGACACTATGAATTAATAAGTACGATATTTTGCTACCCTCAAACGTTATGACGTCCGTAACAAATTTCATGAAGATTGCTGTATTCTGCGGCAGCTATCTTCGGACTCACCGCCGTGAAAACCTCAAATCCTAAATTTCATGTATCTAACAACTGTCTGTTACCAGCATACAGACGGATATCAACAGAGATTTCTTTCACCAATCCGAACTGCTTCATAATTCACCTCATTGTTCCACCTCACGATTTGAGCATCAATGTAAAAACCAATACGAACGCGCAGGTCATGAGCAATGGTGTAGGTGGCTATCTTCCGTGATGTAGCATCGTTTAATCTGGTAGAAGTTTACCAACGTTTCAGAGGCCCTTGCTGCTCCATCAACAGGTTGATAAGACACGCTCCTCGCTACCACGCCCTCACACGATCCTAACTTCACTGCTCAAACCGATTCCACGCAAATTGCCCTGATGATGAAGGCAGAAAGGGCCTCTGAAACGTTGTTAAATTCTACCAGACTACATGGCGCTACAACACAGAAGAAAGCTATCTTCATTCTCACCGCCGTGAAAGCCGACAGTAAATTACTTCAAAGTAGGAACAATTTTTCTTAATGGCCTTACTTCGTTCAACGGTACTACAGACGACACTACAGTGTTGCTGCCACCATAACAGAAGGAATTCAAAGTAGTTATGATTATGAGAAATTAGTAGATTAGACTTGTCTTTTCTTCAACAGTGATTACATAAAACAGGTTCCCTTATATGTGAATTCCTATAATGTTTGTTTTGAGGTTCTGAGTGTCCACCTAAGACTTTAGTTTTATTTCTAACCTCGGAAGAGAGAAGTAGGAAATTGAATTACTTACTGCAGAGAAATTTTATGTTTTCGTTCCTTTGTAGCATTTAGCAACATGGCGGGTGTAGTACGTATGGTACAGGGTTCCGTCTTTCGACGTTCAATTACGTTGTCATATGGCAAAAATGTTCGTATAATTTCAACTTCGAAGAAAAACAGAGAGACTGTAAGCGTGGCGGAACCTACCGACAAAAGTGAAACGACAGAAAGCACCATTGTATCAAAGAAGAATTGGGTCAGTTATGGATATGACTTCAAACGGCAAGAGGATGATACAAATGCTATGCATTCTACATTTTTCTTTTCCATTACATTATGTATAGTGTTTGGAGGATTCGTATTTACTTATTATCCTGATGTACTGTTACGTGATTGGGCACAGCGTGAAGCATATCTTGAGCTACGAAGAAGGGAGGCGCAGGGGCTGCCACCGATAGACCGAAACCTCATTGATCCCCAAAAAATTGTGTTGCCTTCAGATGAAGAATTAGCAGACACCGATATTATAATATAAGTCAGCTGTATAATATTTACATATGTAGTATTGAACCAAATAAGTTGTGACTACAAGGTTCTGTATTTTGGTTGAAGTTAAACATTTTTTGGAATTTTGATAGTTTGTGTATCAGAAGTTTATCTTATAAATATATGAAAATTGTGTTACAGTGCACTTTTTTTTCCAAGGTATGTAAATATTTGCAAAGCAAATCGGCATCATAAATTAATACATTGGATCAGTGGAACCCTTTATGAAAGAAACCAGCCTGCTTGTTGTGATCCATCTAAGGTTGATTGTATATGGAAATATTTGCTCATTAAACATGTTATATGATGTACACAAACCAACCAGTTAGATGTTCCAATTACATTTGTGGTTTAAAGTTAATTTCCTTTTCTTTTTTGTGCACTAGTATGCTTCAGTAATAATATGTGGACTTATAGGTAGATACCAGCATTTTGGAAAAACATGTTGAGGTTGTCGCAACCTGGAAGACGAACTACTGCAAATATCAAAAAATTCCACAAAGCCATCAAATGTACAGGGCTACAACTGATATGTGGGACACAGACATACATGACAAAATAGCTAGCAGTTACTCAGTCTACTTTAAAGTGTACAAAAGAAAATGTCCTTTTATGCATGTTAGACTTGACATTATCTTCCCCCTCCTGACATCATGTGGTGCCAAGATGACTCACACAGACTTCCAACTCTCCCTCAAGCTGAACTTGATTTAAAAGGATGGTCATTTGCTTACCTTGCACTGTTGTCCCTTGGGCAGAAAATCTGTACAAAAGAAAAAAATTACTTGATTGAAGGTGAACTTCAGTAAACACCAGTTTATTCTTTCTGAATGTCACATGAATTATAACAATGTTTGATGTGGGGCTTTGTACTGGTCACTTGAAGCATAACATACCACAGCAAATCCAAGCACTCCAGGTAGTCAAACTAAAACTAATCTCACCAAACATGCATGTGACAGAAGATATTTATTTACTTTTGTTTCCTACAGTGTACTGCACACTGTGCCAGGGCATGTCAGTAGACCAGCTGGGATGGTAATTAAGAATACCAGCCAGGTCACTGGAGATATAAATGAGAATTTTATTTTTGTTTCAAATTTTGCTACTAATGGCTAACTAATCTAAACATCAGATGCTCTAATTATAGAAAAACTTACAAAGTTGTGAACCCAAAACATATCAGCATTTTTCACTACCTCTGTAGGTTTATTATACTTGACTACAAACAGGAAAGCCACTGTTGCTTAAAACAAAAGTGTAGATATATTATACTACTCTGTACATATGAATAGCGCACAACAGAATAAAGTGTGTACACATAAATTCATGTTTTATCACATGCCACACCACTGCATCACACAGTTAAGATTGTAGGATGTATCCTCCAAGATCTACTCGTACACCGCGATGAATGAAACAGAACACACCAGGTTAAAGCTGCTAACACAAGTACAATGTATATCTTACCTTATTTATTTGCATATATTATTCTTGCATTTCAAAATGAAGCTCATTTTAAAGACTGAAACCACACCTTCAAAGTCTTATTGAAAAAAGTCATTAACTAAATTACTTTGTTCACTCTACATCAGGAAACAAGAAGTGATTATTAAGCACGTGAAATACTTACAGCTGTTCCAGTATTAAAATTCTCAGTTAACTGTGGGTTTCTTATTTTACATACTCTGAAGCACTTCAGATTTAATGTGACACATTTAAAGCATGGCACAATGGAATCCTGTAAATACATCTGAAGATTCCCATATACCGGTTTGGGGAAGTATAAAAACATGATCATTGTGTGGCATACAGTTACTGAGAGGCCGCAACATGCTGCGTCTCTGAGCTTCCTCCAGTCACCTGAAGACTTTCTAGTGTGGTGTACGGCAGTGTGGCACTGACTGTAATTGGTGGCATGCCCGGTAATGAGATGGGTGTTG